AAACGACTCCTGTTCCATCGATTTTTAGTTGAACTCGGCAGCAGGGGGTATTTTTTGAGGAGAAACTAGAATTTTTAGTCAAATTTTCAAATATAAAAATCCAAGATGGCGGACGTGACCGAACAGCCGAACATGCTATCCTGGCTCCTGTTCGATCGACTTTAGTAAAACTCGGTTTCAGAGGACACCAGTTGACGGAAAACGCTACTTTCCAGTCAAATTTTCAAAATTTAAGATGGCGGACGAGGCATATAGTGCTATTTTGGCTTTTCCATTTATTTTCTGTTCATTTTCAGAATCAATTTACGCTCTCCAGACACAGAACTCGATATATGCTCCTCAACACTGATGTGTTAAAACCGCTTGTTTACATTCTTGTGTGCTCAAAAGAAACGCCGTATGAACAACATTCAAATTTTTTTCAAAATTATTCCGATAACATATTTTTTTGAGGGGAAATGTGCGAATATTTTTCAGTGACATTTTCTGTTTCAGCAGATTATTTTGTAAAGAAAATACTCCAAAACTTCAAAAGAATTTTTTTTCAAAATTTTCCAGAAAATTCGTCCGTTATCAGATTAATATTTGTAACGTCATTATGTTTATACGGCATTGCATTGGCGTTCGCTCTTCGCTCGCATAAGTTGCCCCAAAGCGTTTATTTCTGCCTGTGAACACGGCAACCCTGCAACTCAATGCTCTCGCGTGTATCAGTATTTCATACCACACAAGTGCGTCCACTCTAATTAATTTCTGTCCCCGTGTTTGTTCATTTGTGTTTACCAACCTCATCGCCGTGTAACGCCTCTGTTACCTGTCCTTCGCGCCTTCGCCCCAACTCACCCTCTCTTTCTTGCCCTTATGTTCTGTCCACATGCTGTTTCACGGAGCCGAAGTATTCTAAAGATCCCTCGCTGGCTATCGGCACAATGTCATCGAATTGGAAGAAGATTCAGTTTTTCAGGTGTTCGGCGTTTCTCTTGGTTTAGGTGCGCAGAATAATCACAGTATTAACAGAGAATATTTAATATTTTTTTTAACACAGTATTTATGCTAAAAGAAACTATGGGCATAGGGTTTGCGGGCAATAAGTTTCTTTTAGCGTAACTACGTTCAATAGGCTTTTCTGAACGGCTTTCAATAGGCTTTCAACGTTGACTCGATGTCGTGGCGTTTATCAACCGATTCAGTGTTCATCCGCGTTTTTCATTTTTAATATTTTAGTTTTTCTTTTATTTTTGCATAGTTTTGATTTTTTAAACGGCACCTATTTTTCTCTGATATGCTGTTTCATTTCTTCGTAGGGCACGGGTATAGATAGTAATGACCGATTAATGTCAGGTTGAGCCGTCTCTAAAAATTAGTTTCTAATACCATAAGTCTCGTTTGCCAAGAAAATAATTTTCCTAAAATGTATTTTGCTGCAGATTAAGTAATATTCGTGGATTTGATCGCAGAAATTCTAATGAGCGTATTTTTTCAATACTTCGCAGTGTTTTTCGTTTTTCTCGGGTATTGTAAAAACCTGCCTTCTTTGAAGCTGGAAAACCTTGATTACGCGATTAAGGTAAATCATGCGCTCTCGTTTGAAAATTTTCATCAATGAATTACTATTATCCCTACATGTTTAAAGCTGTATAATAGAGCCCCGCTGACTGCGGACTGATTATTAAAATAGACAAAGCTATAGACAAAGAGAAAATAGAGGGTCCCCATGATGGGTGCTGGTAGTTGTAATGGACAAAAGAGATGAGTAATAGACTAACTATCAGCAACCCATGAGACGTTCTACATTTAGTCTATCATCTCCTCTTTAGACCCTAGAAACCACCCATTTCCACCGCAGTACTATCGCTCAATTTTCCTTTGTCTTATTTTGTCTATCAATTTCAATAATCAGCCCGCTGTCGGGCGTTTCTCCAATGCCAACGCATTGAAGCTTCCGCCTTGTTTTATTTACATTCGGAGAGTGGTTGTGGATTGTGACAGTGACGGGAAAAATCAATAGTAACCCAAATGCCCATAGTTTCCTTTTTGAAGGAGGTTAGCGAACGATCCACCCCGGTCTGGGCGCCACACAGTGGATCGAGTCAATAGGAGAGGTTGGACAAAATTTGGAAACTATAAACGCTTATAACTCCGCGTTTATACAAAACTTTGAGGTTCTAGAAGTGGCTCCATTGGTTTTCTCGTGAACTTTTCTTTCGAAAGCATCCCTTATAATTTAAAATGCGACGAATTAAACATCTAATTTTGCAGTTTAAGTCAAAAATTTCATGTCCGATCTCTTCGATTGACTCGATCCACTGTGCGCCACACAGGGCCGCTCGATTTCGAGCTCTTTCTGAGCGTCTTTGCCGATATCTTTGTAGGTTTCGTGGCCTTAGCGAGTTACGTAAGCGTCGGCGAGGGTAGTCCATTCAGGGAGGAAACTTTACACCCTCGCGCAGTGGATTTGCGTTAAGGTGCGTCGCCGCACTGTGGGTCGGGCTCGCGGTAGATAGCGAACGAGAGCGCGGAATGGAGATGTTGCATGTGTGAGGGATTTGCGATTTGACTGGTGTTTCTTATGTAAAAGTTCGCGAAAAACACGATGGTGCCACTGGTTTTCTCTGAAATCAACTCCCAAGCTCGAAAAAAGCTCTCAAGTTGAGACCAAAATGGAGGGGATATCCCACGCTATCCTGAGAGTCCACTTCTACATTAAAACAAACTCTCCATGCAAAGATAGGGAGCAAATACATTGACAGGGCTGCCACTTTATTTGGGGACTCTAAAACTGAAAACACGGCAACCCTGCTAATGTATTTGCTCCCTATCTTTGCATGGAGAGTTTGTTTTGATGTAGAGGTGGACTCTCAGG